TGATCTTCTAGGGTTTAAGTATATATTTTGATCTCTTTTGGTGAGTATTTTAGGAAGAAGGATTTTCTCGCTAACAGTTCGATAATGGTGGCTTAAACTGGGTAAAATGTACCTTAGAGGTGACCATAATAGGTGGTGGTTTGGGTGCCCCGGTTCTTGAGGGTGCTGTTGTGGGTTTTTCTGCTCCGGTTTGATCTACCGTCAATAATTCGAATAGGTTACTAGTGGGAACATTGTCTTACTCCATATCTTCATACTCATCATCCGATGATGAGACGGTACTGACTCTAGGCATGGTGATTTTCACTAGTTTGGTATGAACGGGCACTTCTTCTTCTTCGTCCTTGTTCTCAAGGGTCCTCTTGACTGGTCTTCTGATGACACCCTGGTTCCTCGAGCCCATCAGGGCGAGTTCTGGAATCTGGTGTCGGGTAACTCGACACTTGTTCGCGACGCGCACTACTTCATGACTAAATTCACTTTGAAACTTAAACGTCGCACTTGGTTTCTAGTAAGCATCGAGTATTGGCACTAGTCAACAATACCGTCAGACAGACTAAGAATCGCATTGAGATCTCTCTTAGAGCAAAACATGTTTACTCTGGCGAGAACTCAACTCGAAATATTTTCCTTTCGTTTTGGGAGGATACTTTTATACCTTTTGTAATCCAATAGTTATCTCTATCTGAGAACTTTTTTTTTTTTTTCGTTTGTACTGTGAAGATCAAACCATGCAACTGTGCCAGTCAAGTGTGGAAGGTTGTATAGGCCTGTTCTGCATGACTCTCCTCCAATACATCATGCCATGATACCATCTACCCTATGAATAATAAGTAAAAGAACACCAATCATGCTACCCTATGAATAAAAAAGAGCATTTGCTTTTTCTCTCAAAATCTGAAGCAAATGCTTCATCCAGTATGAATAAAAGTTCATGCAAAATCTCTTACTTAAAAGTCGGAAGCAAATGCTCCAGGATAAAGCAATTACTCTTTTTCTTATGAATAAAACAGAGTATTTGCTTCAAATTGGAGCATTTGCTCCTTGCAAAATGCATCAGCTCCAGAGCAGATGTATGCTTACTATTTTGGTAAATTATTTTCAATGCTTACTTCTCGTTTCTTTGTAAATTGTAGATTGTATTAGAATTCGTTACAGCTTGTTCTAGCCGCTCTAGTGTCCAAGATTTATATGCTTCTCCCAAAGAAGGCCGGCTTCCTGGGTGGCAAAGTGCCCACCTCTTGTGGTGTTAGCAGTAAACCTTCAAGGTATTTCAGCCTTTTGTAGAAGTGAGCAGAACATTCACAGATTAAGTGTTCTATACTTTTTGTTGCTGGTTCGCAAGAGCTGCAGTGGTCATTGTCTGATTTGCTTATTGTTTTTACACCTGAAAACATTACGTGGTGAAATATCACCATATTTCACCACGCAATGCCCAGTGAGCAGACTAACGTTCTAATGTTCCTTCTGTTCATGTGAAGACCTTTAGATCTCCTTGCTGAGATGGATATGAACCTTCTTCATATATTAATTTCTTCGGAGACGTGGCTTTTCATTAGTCCACAAAAAGGCTCTTCGTCTTGAAAAGGTGTTAAAGCGCCTTGCCCCTGGTGTCCTGGTATCCACATCAGGGTTACTTTATACCTCCCAGCCAGTTGTTTAAGGATATTTTTACCCTCACAAACTAGCTGAGAATTGCACTTGATGGCTCCTAGAGCCTTTAGAGCCGCTTGACTATCGGACAGTATGTAAATGTGCTCTCTTAAAACGCCTCTTTTAAGATACTCTTTGGCACAAATGTTTATGGCCAGTACCTCAGCTTGAAATTTTGTGGGCGTTTTACCGATTGCTGAGGAGAGTTTAAACTTTTTTTTAATTCCCAGATCGACTTCTTCTGTTAGCTTCGAACCATCTGTGTGACTGTGTAACAAAATAATGCGTTGTCCGCTTGCGGTAGCTTTGCGTTCTTCCATGATTGGCGTTCTTTTACAACCACGTCATATAAAATGTCAAAGTCCAGTGATGTTATCATATGATCTTTTAGTTTACTTTCGCACTCGAGCCTTATGGATCGATTGGAAGATCTAGTGCGGAACGAGTGCAATTTTTTCTATTCCTGTCTTTTGCTTCTACAGGTCGATTAAAAGGATGCAAATACACTCAGTGCGCACTGAATCTACCAATCGGAAACGCCATGATTGAAACAACAGGTACTGTACTACAGGTAGTATCTTTTACTTCATTTCTTTGAAGCATATGCTCGCAAGTAAAAGTTTTTCATTATTAATATGATATGAAGTAAATGCTTCTAGTTCTATCTTTTACTTGAAGCTTTTGCTTATACTTCTACCTTTTGCTTAGAAGCAAATGCTCTATTTTTATTCATACGGCTGCATAACGATGAGGAAATAAAAATTGTTCCAAGGCTAATTAATCCTTGATTTTTACAAACTGTTTCCTATCTACTAAATATGTTTTTATAATGTTTAAAAAATTTCCCCGAATACCCAATTTGTTTAATTTACCTAAAAGCAAATCAATTGATAATACATGAAACGCTTTTTTAAGATCTATAAACACTGCTACGACTATATCTACTTTTTTGATCCAAATTCCTTGAGACATAGTTAACAAAATCGAATGCAGCTGAAAGCGTTTTACTCTTCTTTATGAAACCATACTGGAATGGGTCTACCAACAAATTTTCACACATAAACTCAACCATTCTTTTTTTAATTATCTTCTCAATAATTTTTGAGAATATACTAAGCACTAATATTGGTCTATTATTGTTCATCTGATCGGCTGCGCCAGATTTAAAGATCGGAGTGAATCTACTAATCTTTAACTCAGTCAGAATAACCAAGATATCGCTTTTTAAATTATTTAAATTTAAAATTGTTGTTATGCCATCATATCCTGGAGCAGAATTTTTTTTAAGTTCGAGTATGGTTTAGTTTACCTACTTCATTAACATTTGTCAATCCCACTCCATAATAGCGACATTATCAACTACAACATCCCTAAGTACAACACGACCATTGATTGTCTGCATCAATTTCCTCATTCAATGCACTAACTATATTTTCTCCTACATTGGCAAAATGATAATTTAAAGTGTCTACAATTTTTTTGTTTTGGGACATGAAAAGGATATTATGTCGGAATTTTTTATCAATCAAATGGTAGTATACGACTTTGTGGAGATATTTCCGTATCAATTAACCCACATGTCATCAAAGATGATTATCCAATACCTAGAATGGAGGATATTTTATCTATATTGGACGGTGGCAAGTATTTTTCTAAACTTGATTTGACAGACGCTTACCTTCAACTCGAAATTCATCCAGACTCTAGAAAATACTTAGTTATAGCCACGTACCAGCAGGACTATCATAGATAGAAATAACACGTTTACCATTTGGCGTAAATTTTGCTCCGTCACTTTTCTAACAAACAGTGGATCAGCTCTTGTCAGGCATCGATGGAACTGGTATGCTATCATGATATTTCAGTATTAAGTCCTTTTAAGGAACTTCAATTAAACAGTTTGGAACAGGTTCTAGAACGCCCGTGTAATGCTGGTTTAATGACACAAGTATCAAAATTTATTTGGCTGCAGAAAACTATAAATTTTTCGGGACACACTATCAATGCTGAAGGTTAACATCCAACAAATGAACATTTAGAAGCAATTCAAGAGATGCCAACACTAACTAACATAACAGAACTTCGATCTTTCTTAGGTTCAATCACTTACTACAATAGATTTATCAACAAACTTCATGTTATCTCCATACCACTCTGTGACAAGCTGGAGAAAGGAAACAAGTTTTCTTGGACAAAAGAAGATGAACACTTGTTTTAAAAACTTAAATTTATTCTCACTTCATCTGATACTTTGGTACATGGTAAATTACGACCCAAAATTACCCTTAATTGTAACCAGCGATATGCCAGTTCAGAGGTTTAGGAGCAGTTCTTTCTCACAAATTTCCAAATGGAAGCTTAAAAACAGTGGCTTTTGCATCAAGGACACTAAAAGAGTCAGAACGATACTACGCAGCTATAGATAAAGAAGCACTTAGCTTAGTATTTGCAGTGACAAGATTCCATCTCTATCTCTATGGTCGACATTTCACTCTGATGACAGATCATAAATCTTTGGAAAGATTCTTTAGTAAAGAACGTGGTAGGTACATCAAAAGTTACTGGCAATCGACTTTCAAGATGGGCTTTGATTCTGGAAAGCTACAACTTTGATATCAGTTCTCAACCTGACAAAGAAAATTAATTGGCTGATGCTCTATCACGTCTTTCACGTGCGACAACAAACACTTAACCTGAAGAAGAAACTGAGTTAACGAAAAGAGCTCATTGTTCCCCATAATCTACCAGTTTCGAAAAATGGATTAAAATTAAAAACAGGAAAAGACAAAAATTCCAGAAGATAATTAAATAGGTATGTCCACAGTCTTATTGGCCTGGAAAATTAACAAATCTTACGAAAAGTGGGACGTAATTTCTTTTAAAGAAAAATTTCTCACATCAAAAAAGACGCATTTGCCTTCCTGAATCATTAAAACAACAAGTTTTGAAAATGCTTCATGACGGACATCCTGGAATAACAGCAATGCAATCTAGTGCTCGTCTATACATGTTTACTGGCCTGGTATCGACAATGATATCGTGAAATTTGTATCAAGAACGATTCTCATGTCGGTTGAAATAGAGCTATAATTACTGTAGGAAACACGGCATTCGATCAGTATCGAATTCAGCGATGAAAAAGTGTGGAACTTTATTTTTCCTAATTCTTCTATAGAGTAGGTATGTACCTGCTGATTCAGCTTCTGTTGATAATTATCTTTGGTTTCAATAGTTTGGTATCTGAGTTGACCCCCTCAGTATTTGAGAATTTGGATTTTAAATTTGTCGTCTCGTCTAACTTTAAAAATATCGTTCCTCGAAATCACCAACCAACTTTTCATTCACAGTACACCTTCTACTTCAAAAACTCCTGGTTCTGCGCCATCCACATCCCTCCAACGAAAACCGTAGATTGGCCTCAGAAACAACGGCTGATGCACATGAGACTCAGACGTATCGTTTTGGCACACAACGATATGTATTTACAGGTAATAATCTTATAACAATATTATTGGTGCTCACATCTATCAATTTCACAGCAAGCAGAATACGAAAAAGAGCTTGAACTCAGACCAGAAACATCGACAATCAGAAGACCACCGAATAACGTCTACACAGGATACGGCGACGTGGAGAGGACGTTTTTTTATTATGGCGTTATGAATGAAGGTATATTTATTGATGTGTAAATTCTATACATATATGTATAGAAAAAACTTTTCATTTCAGCTGCATATGTTTCAAAGTTCCACAGCGAAGATGACATTATGGTAGATGAACTGGACGAAGAAGAAGATATAATTGAAGTGGATATGAACCAGTTGATACCTGAAGCAGTCGGTATTGATGAAATCAACGATTTAGTTGCAGTAAACTCTGAGGAAGATGTTTATTATCGAATTCCATATTTAGGTTTGAAATTGTTTACTTAATACAATTAATTTAAAATGTTTGTGCATTTAGGACTCAAAATTGACGTATCTTTGAAATGCCCTGTTCAATATGCTCCTTTGAAATACCTGAATTCTTTGCAAGAAGATGAACGAGAACAAATTAAAAAACATAATAACATTGAAGGTATTTTGTTTGTTTTAGATTATTTTTTATTAATAATTATTGATGTTTTAGGTGCAACCGAAATCGTACTGAACTTTGAAAGTCTGGGCAATCACTATGCCAGATTAGCGTGCACTTACAATTACAAATTCATGGGCAAACCCGAAACGAGAGAATCACATCAAAACACTGGCGATTAATAATAATTCAAAAAAAAAAAAAAAAACAATTTACCAAATTTTTATTTATATTTTTTGTCTTTTTGGCGTTTCAATTCTTATGACTGTATGATATTGTATTTTTTACATTCATTTTTCTTGCGTTTATATGTATGGTGTGCTCATATTTGCGAATGTTATTTTATTATAATTTTTTTTTTTGGTCAAATTAAACTGCCAACAGTTTTAAACTCTTTGTGTCTTGATGTTTTAATAGTCGCCGAAATATAATCATCTGAAAGGTACCACCACTGGGTACCACACGACAAACGCGACGTCGTATAAATTGGAACGCAAATAAACATAATGAGCCACTTATCAAGATATTCTTGACCTAGCAACTGAACGCTTGTTTGTGTCTGTGAATTTTTTCGTAAAATTATGGTTCAGATAAAATACACAAAGGTGAGTAAACAACATTTAATTTTAGAATTTTTTTATTTGTGATTTGATTATAGGTATTTTTTTTCTCGTATAAATCTTCACCTTTCTAAAATAAAAGTAAATTCAAACTTTTGATAATTCAAATTCAGATATGTTAGAAACTATTTTAAGCCATTTTGTAGTTTATTGAAGTAGGTACCTACTGAAGTGGCAAAAGGATAGTAGGTAGGTACCTATATATCGAAGATGAAATCCATCATCAAATCAGGAGCCCATTTTGATAATGTCTTAGAAGGTTTGCAGCAATTTACTAAAAACTACGAATTTGATAACTATGTTGTTGTTGATGTGCTAGCTCAAATGACTTTTGGATCGAAAAAGAAATGTTCATCATCATCATCATAAATCAGCCTTGACTCGTCCACTGCTGGACATAGGCCTCTCTTAACCTAATCCATCTTGCTCGGTCTTGGGCATCTTGGATCCAATTTGTAAATAATTATCTGTCCATCAAGTCGGCGGTCTACCCCGGCTTCTCTGTGCAGCATCTTCAGGTCACCACTCCAATATCTTCTTCGTTCATCTATCATCTGTCATTCTTGCGACATGGCCTGCCCAGTTTCAGTTTAGGTGTGTTATTCTCTCAACAACATCTGCAACTTTAGTTCTTCTACGTATCTCTTCGTTGTGAATTCGGTCTCGCAACGTCACCCCCAACATAGCTCTTTCCATGGCTCGTTGGGTAACTCTTATTTTGTAGATCGTTTTTTGTCAATGTCAATGTTAATGTTTCTGAGTCGCATATCAGTATTGGGAGAATGCACTGTTCAAAAACTTTACGCTGGGATGTCTGACTTGAATACATGTTTCAACCTGCCGAAGGCAGCCCATGTTAGTCCTATTCTTCGGCTAAGTTCACAGGTTTGGTTATCTCTGCCGATTCGAATTTCATGTCCTAGATATTTATATGATGACGTGTTGGATTTCATTTTCTTCTATTTCAAGATTACATGCAACTAGGAACCAGATTTTTCATAAATTGGGTTTTGGCAATGTTGATTTCGAGGTTGATTTCTAATCGAATTTTTGATGACAGTTTCGTGAGCATTTCATCTATTTCATCTAGCCGATCCTCCCGATATCGTCAGCGAAACGCAAATGGTTCAGTTTTTCTCCATTTACGTTTATTCCCCCACTGTCCCAGTTCTATCTTTTCAAGCAGAGTTGTAAAAAGTTTGGGAGAGATCGTATCCCTTAGTCGAACGGGCCTTTCCAATTTTAAACTGCTTTGTTCCATCATGCAATCTTACTTTTGCTGTTGCGTGTTTAACTGTCGCATTAGCGAGATATAGCGGTGATCTATACGTCAGTTGGCGAGAGCTTTGAATAATGCATGGTGGTCTATGGAATTGAACGCGTTTTCATATAGTTCACAAACGTTTGTTATATTCTACACTTTTTTCTATTAATGACTTTATAACCTGAAGATGTGAAGGTGATCGTTTGTTCCGTACGCAGCCCGAAAGCCCGCTTGTTCTCTTGGCTGATATATGATTCTAATTTATCAGTAAGACGTGCAGTAATGATTTTGGTAGATAGTTTATGTAGATGTGTGAGCAAACTAATCGGTCTGTAGTTTTGCAAGTCTGCGATGCTGCCTTTCTTGTACATAATAATGATGATGGCATTGTTTTACATCTTTGGGGTTGTTGATTCGTCAAGACCTTTGTCCTTTATCAAAGAGTTTAATTATCACCTAGTTTCACAGCCTCTGCGACAACACCTTCCTGGTCCGGTGCTCTGTTGTTTTTCATTTCTGAGAGTGACCTTGAGACTTCCTTCGCTTAACGCGGTGGCATTTCTTCTGATCCCTGATTTAATATATGGGTTATATTTTCCGGTGTTTCTCTCGGGCCTTTGTTACTATAGAGATTTGTATTGAAGTCTTCAACAATCTTTAGTATTTCCTTTCTGTTGTTTGTTACCTACTTGTACTCTTTCATTTTCTAATTTGGTTATTTAGGTCTTTCCTGTGCCTAGTTTATTTCGTAGTACTTTCATGCTTTTATTTTCTCCTATGACCTTATAGTGATCCATTTATTATTAAATTTTCTAATGTCAGCCCTCGCAGCTTTCGTTATATCCTTATTTAGTGGTTTTAGTTCATCCTTGTTTTGTGGGTTTTCCCCCAGTAATTTTCTCCTATGTTTCATTAATTGTTTGGTATCTAAAATCAGTTTTTCTTGTTTTTCTGAAAGCTCATCCGAGCAGTGTTCACGTTGGGTTATGCTGATTGTCTCTACAATATTTCTATTTAAGTCTTCGATGTTCATTGGATCCGGGTCTTTCAGATTTCTATCTATTGTTTTTAAATATCTCTCAGCGTCATCTATATTGGTCCCTTTCCTGTTGTTATTTTTATTTATAAGTTTTCTGCGTTGTGCTCTTAAGTTTAATGACACCATTGCTCTCACCATTCTGTGGTCACTCCCTGCTCTACTGACACGCGTTTTAGTTCCGTTACATCTGTGACTATGCGTTTTTTGTCTGTAATAATAAAATCAATTTTGTTTTTAGTCATCATATACCATCCGGACTGATTCATGTCCCCTTTCGATGGTCCGCCTTTTCAAAGAATCTGTTCATGGCAGTCAGTTGATGGTGGAACAAAAACTGTAGCAGGAGATTTCATCGTTCGTTCCTTTTTCCAACTCCATGGCATCCCAGTGGTGTTTCCGTTTCATTTTGTGTCTTTCCAAGCTTGGCATTGAAGTCTGCGACTAACATGGTAAAGTTCGCTGGAGGACTTGAGTAAGGCCCTCGTAGAAGTCTTCAATATCTTTGTGCATAGGCTTGGATAATCTTGACATTGTATCGTTCATTTAATTTCAATTTAACTAATGAGGCTTACGCTTACGCTTACGCTGCTGATCTCAAATATATTGTGTACATGTCGCCTATTTTTCAGAAGTCCGATTTCTCCTACAGAGCTGTTTTATTCACACTTGTGGTAATACATATTTCCTGACTCCAGTAGGATTTATTTTTCTCCCCTTTTTCGGATTTCGCTTATTCCGATGACATCTTAGTTTTGTATTTGTTCAAGTTCTTCTAGTTCCAACACTTTCTCGTCAGATGAAAGGGTTCTCGTATTATATGTCGCAATATGCAGTTTTAGTCTTCCTTGGTAGCCTAGGGGAATCTTAGTAACCTGTAACCTCCAATTGCTGCCTTTTCCAACCGCTACCTTGGTCGGAGACTTGTGATCTGCCTGGGACCGAGGACCATTTGTGATTTCTACTTTCCATCTTGGGTTTGGGTTTCATATTATTTACTATATGTATAGTTCATACTTATTTTATATTTTTTGCATGTCCCATTTTATAATTTCGAGAATGTGTTAAATACATTTAGGTAATGGAACTTCAGTATAAGCTTTTGTGATTTCACTGATTTCATCAATATCAAAGCGAATAGGTGATACAAGGCTAGGAATTGGCTGATTGATATTTAGCAGGACTAACTTCTTTCATTTTGAGCAACCCTTTAACTAACATCTTTTGGCAATCCATCCTTTCTAGAGCATCAGATCTTCTTGAAGAATTCCATCTTACTCTGAGTGATATCATAAATTAATCTTTTGAAGTAAAGAAATATTGGGGATTCAAGAGCCGGTAATATAAAAATTTTGATTGTATAATTGATTCTTGAATTGATAGATAATGTTTCTAAAGGCAGACAAGCACCGGTAATAGTCCTCTCATCAAAGACCGCTGTAAGTCCAAATTTTAATTTTTACTAGCTCTACTTTCGCAGGACATTTTTTGTAAAGGCATTCAAGAGCCGGTAATATGAAAATTCACTTTTCAAAATGAAATCAAAGGCAAAGGTCGCTCGAATAGGTTAAAATTTTGATTTATTACTCTAGATTCCCAGGACATTTTTTCTAGAGGCAATCAAAAGCCATTAATATGAAAATTTTGATTATTACCGGTACTTGCTGAATTGAGTCCGAGGAAACTTGGAACATTGTGTGAGAGGTTACTGGTAAAAATAGTCGACTACAAGAAATTGAAATTGATCCTGGAAACTTGAGCTTGTATTGCACTGTCGCTGATAATCTTACTGTAGTCGTCAACTCGGATGTTGATCCATTAAAAGCTATCTTGGAAACTTGTATGTGAATGAATCTTTTTCATTTTTCTCACCAATATCCATAAGCAATATCCAATTCTTAAGTCCATTAGAAATCAGTCCCAAACCGTTTTAGATGGTATATCCGCACAAAAATCTTTAGGGAACTTTGAACTTTCGAACTAGGCCCTTGGTGTTCTATATCGGCAGCAGTCAACCTAGCCTTTACATCAGGCACTATTCCACCTAGTCTTAAGGACGCTTTGCTAATACCCATTTACATAAGAGCCCAATATTATTGCTTTCAACAATATCCAAAGTTGTAGATAAACTTCTTAAAAAAAGTATTATGAACTTCCTAAAACTTAAAGTTTTTAACTTCACCCAATTTGGATTCGTTCCTAAGATGCCATGATGCCATGTTTCAATTCAATTCACAGCGCTGCGAAAGCTAGGGAAATTAATCCAAAGCCAGGAGAATTGATTCAAAGTGAATCTACAGTTCTTTGCAAGCCAGATGAATCCACATCTATTCCATAATGCTGCAGAATCCAGAAGAATTATTCCAAAGGGACTCAAGAAATCTACAGAGGCCAAGAAAGTTATTTCAACACCATTTACAAGCCATCAGAAGTCTCAATATCCAATTCGCAGTGCTCCCTGAGCCAGGGAAATTAATCCGAAGCGATTCTACTGCGTTTTACAAGCTACAATAGTCTAAATATTGCAAAAGCTAGGAGAATAAATTCAAAGTGAATCTTATTAAGCTCCTTGCCAGCCAGAAGAGTCAAAATCCATTCCACAATGGCCACAATGCTCATTCAGAATGAATCAGCAGCCGCTTCAGTGAATCCATATTACTAATAGTCAATGGATAAGAGTTCAAACATTTAAAGTTTACAAAAGTATTTACCTTAGTATAAAATGTTCAATTCTCTTCCTAGGGGTATCCTTACTTGTCTTCGCGACGCGTACCTAATTCAATTTACTACCGATTCCGAATTTAATGCTGGATTTCTGGATTAAAACTCTCTTTTACAAATTGCCATTTGACCAGGATCTCAGACTGTTTTGTTTACATCGAAAATTATTGATTTTCCGGTTGGAACTTCACTGATTTTCATGATTTAAGAATTTTCTCAGTCCTATTCAAGAATTTCCTAATATCGTAACTTTGTTTAGAGTTGGACCGAAATTTACTGTTTACTTTACTACATTTTCAGAAACTGACTTGTTAATCAACTTTCAACTCAAGCTTCTAACTAGCTTGATGTCATTGGGAAGCCCCTCGCAAATGGTTTAGAGTTTAGAGCATGTCACACTCATGCTTTCGAACATTCAGTCGACAAAGGGTAAAGCCGATGAATTGTTTGTCTTTTTACTAGAATGTAAAAAACTCTATCATTTCGTCCTTCTTACAGAATATTAGCTTAAAAAGGAAAAATCTTTTGATGTCCCAAATTATTACGTTTTATATAATAATAAGTTCCGAATTTGCATCCAGCTCAGACTTCTGTAACTACGATAAGTTTAACTAATTATCTGAGAAAATATTCGAATTCTGTCTGCTTTTCTCTAAATACCTGAATACATAATATTCTCTGCATTTATTGATCACAGACTCCACCTCCACAACAATAAAATACGTTTGTTCAAATCTTGATTCCATCGACTTGATTCCTATTTTGATTGTAATGTTACTGACCCTGACTTGTCAGACCACACCAATGCTATTATATCTTCATTACCCCTCGGAAAACTTCTGTCATTTTAAGCAAACCTGTAACAACATCTTTTGGCAATCCATGATTTCTAGGGCAGATCCTCTTGAAGAATTCCATGTAGATCTGAGTAATACCATAAACAAATCTTTTTCCCTAAGGCCCTTTCGTGAACAGGGTAACCGAGAATATTAGATGCCAAAAAGGCTAAATATTTCTGCAGCTATCTTAAGATCTTTAAATTTCATATTATCTGAAATATAGAAAAATTTATAGGAAATCTAGGTACCTACTTCTTCTACTCAAATCGTTAAAGCAACACTGCCAATCTGAGGAAACTTGGAACATTGTGATCGAGATTTACTGGTAAAAATAGTCTTAACCCTAATTCTCAGAACTATGTAGTGTCGCTAGAGACACTTTGGTAACCAATAGGAGTCGACCTGTCAATTGAATGCTCGATTCCTATTGGTTACCGAGGTGTGAATCGCGACATTACATAGTTCTAAAAACGAAGCTTTAGACTACAAGAAATTGATATCCTGAAAACTTGAACAGCTTTTATTGCACTGAGCATTGTCGCTGCAGCCGTCAACTTGGATCTTTGATCCATTAAGGACCGGTTTATTAGTGGACAGTTATTTAGTTTAGCTGTCGGTTAATTTATAATTATTATTGGCGACAGCTGAACTGAACTAAATAACCGTTCACTGATAAACCGGTCCTTAGTCATTTTGGAAACTGGCATGTCAATGAATCTTTTTCATTTTTTCCCACCAATATAAACTAGTCCTTAGTCATGTCTTGGAAACTTGCATGTCAATGAATATTTTTCCTTTTTTCCACCAGTATCCATGAAATAGATATCTAATATACATTCTCAAGTTCATTAGAAATCAATCCACAGCCGTTCCAGATGGTATAGTAGAGGACTACAATCTCTGAACATTTCAGGGGCCGGATTCTCGGCTGAGGGAGTAGAGCTCCCCAATAGAACGAATGTTTTGTCCTTGTCAACGTTATCGAAAAGTAAACGAGAATGATAAAGACGAAAACTTTGTTCTCTCGGGGAGCTCTAATCCCTGGCCCGAGAATCGGCCCCCAGGGTCCTTATTCAGGGGAGCAGCTTTCCCAGGAGATCGAGTGTTCTGTCTTTATTCCTAATATTATCATTTGCATATCATTGAGAAAGACGGAAAACTCGTTCTCCTGGGAACGCTGCCGTCCTGTTTCAAGAATAAGGATCCAGAGGTGATTTGGACTTTCCTATAGTTTTAGAAATAAAATCGTGTTATAGATAGAAAGCTGAAACTTTCAGCGATCCTTATCTCAGTAGACTGGTATATCTATAAAAATCTCCAGGAATTTTCCGGACCTCTCAGTGTTCTATCGGAAGCAATTAACCTGTCCTTTTCATCAGGTACCTACTGTTCTACCTTGTCTCAAGGATGCATGCGTAGTACCGATACATAATGGCCCAATATCATTGCTGTCAACAAAATCCAAAGTTGTAGAAAAACTTCTTAATGCTTCTAACGATGGACTTCCTATCAAAACATAGGGTTTTTAATTGCCTGATTTGGATTCCTTCCTAAGAAAAGGTACCCATGATGCCATGTTTCAATTCAATTCAATTCACAGCGCCAGGGAAATTAACCCAAAGCCAGGAGAATTGATTCAAAGTGAATCTACAGTTTCTTGCAAGCTAGATGAATCCAAATCCATTCCATAATGCTGCAGAAGCCAGAAGAATTATTCCAAAGGAACGTCAAGGAGTCCTTCAAGCCAGGAGAATCCAAATCTACAGAGGCCAGGAAAGTTATTTCAAAACGCTCTACAAGCCATCAGAAGTCTCAATATCCAATTCGCAGCGCTCCCTAAGCCAGGGAAATTAATCCAATTTGATTCTACTGCGTTTCACAAGCCACAATAGTCCAAATGTACTCTACTCCTCAATATTGCAAAAGCTAGGAGAATTAATTCAAAGTGAATCTTCAGTGAACCTTGCATGCTAGAAGTTCAAAATCCACCCCACAATGCTGATTCGAAGTGAATATGCATCCCGTTCAAGTCAGAAAAGTCCAAATGCATTCGACAATGCTCAAGAAGCTAAAAAGAATTAAGAGACTCCAAGGAAGGACTCCAAAAAGCCTTTCAAGCCAAGATAGTCCAAACCCACAATGCTCAAGAGGCCAGGAAATGTATTTCAAACCGCTCTACAAGCTAGAAGCTAGAAGTTTCTTATTGAAATTCAATAAAGCTCTCTAGAAGCCAAGAAAATTAATCTTGTAAGCTCTTTGTGTACTTCACAGAAGCAAGGAGAATTATTTCAAAGTGAATTTGTAGCCCCTTGCAACCCAGAAAAGTCAAAATTCATTCCACAATGCTCCAGAAGCCAGTAAAGGTAATCCAAGGAGATTCCAGGGTGTCCAGGAGAATTATTTCAAAGCACTCTATAAGTGTCTGAATCCAATTTGCATTACTTCAAAAACGAGGAAAATGAATCCAAAGCGATTCTACAACGTTTCAGAAGCCAAAATGTACTCCTCAGCATTACAGAAGCGAGGAAAATCAATTCAAATTGAATATGCAGCCTCTTGCAGGTCAGAAGAGTCCAAATCCATTTCACAATGCTCCAGAAACCAGGAGAATTAACCTAAAAGGACTCTAAAAAGTCTTTAAAACTAGGGCTGTCCAAATCAACAGCGCTCCAAAGTTCAGGAGGAGAACAATTATTTCATAGTGCTCCACAAGCCAGAAGGATATGAATCCAGTTTACAGCGCTTCACACGGACATCAGAATAGTTCTCCAGAAGTAAGGAAAATCAAATCCAAGAAGATTCTGGAGAGCCAAAAGAGTCCAAGTCTAGAAGCCAGGCTGAGAACTATTATGAAACTATTCGTAAAATCCTTTCTCACCTATTTCTTTTGATTCACTGAGATATAAGCGATTCTATTAAGGCATGTCTGAATATTCTGAACATGAAAAGATTTCTCGCGGGGCAAATTAATTATTTCCAATGTTTTTTCAAGTCATGAATATAAAAGTATAGAAGAACAAGGAGAATAAATCCGAAGTAGTTCTACATACACTTCACCAGGTAGAATTGTCCAAATGTAATCCCATATAACGTTACAGAAACCAGGAAAATTATTTCAAAGTTAATCTACAAGCCAGATGAATCCAAATCCATTCCACAATGTTGTACAAGCCAGAAGAATTATTCCAAAGGGACTCCAAGGAGTCCTTCAAGCCAGAGGAATCCAAATCTAAGTCTTTTGACTGTATATGAATCACAGAATTTTGCTGAGGAAGTTAGAAGTCTACGGCTTCAGGGTGTGAGCTTAAAATGGCTCGAATTATATATTTTACATCACAGTCAGTGTATCACCCTGGATATGGAAAACATTCTTCCGATCAACCAATCATTCATATGGGGCTCCACAAAGTTTAGTCTTGGGACCAATATTAATCCTCGTATACATCAATGATCTTCTATATCTACATATCAGGAGTTCGCAGATAATTCAACGGTTGTGTGAGCTCGTCCCGGTGAATTATGATGATATCAGGGACATGAAGTATTGCTGTAATGCAAATTATTTAATAAGACTCAGATGCTTGGGTTCCAATGCAATATCAACGATCTGATCAGTTCTCCATCAAATTCTTCCTATGTACCAAATTTCTTGGACTTCAACTTTGACGTTGATCTCAAGTTTCAGTCGTATATCACTGCACCTGCTTCTGGTTGCTAATGTGTCCGAGTTGTCGCCTCAAGTTGGGACGCAACCATAACTAAATCAGTATAATATACTGATTGAATTAAATTGAATACAAGAATAAAAAAAACTATATTCTTCTGAGTAAATCAACTGCCTGAAATAAGAAACATTTTATTTATTTTTTCAGTTGTTCATCAACAATGAATTCGTCGACTCTGTATCCGGGAAAACTTTTCCAACCATAAATCCAGCGACTGGTGAAAAAATTGCTGAAGTTTCTGAAGCACAAAAGGTACGTATCTAATGCTTTATTTTAATTAATTCATTATAATTTAGAAATATGTAGATCCTCTTAGGAATTTTAAACGATTTCTGAATATTTTGTGTACAGTGGTACAGTGTTGAACCATGAAATATTGTCAAAAAGATACACTTTATTATTTTCTCTATACATACATTTTAGGAAGATGTCGACAATGCAGTAGCTGCTGCCAAAAAAGCCTTCGAGAGAAACTCAACCTGGCGCAATATGGACGCTTCTCAAAGAGGAAAACTCATAAATAAGGTTGGTAGACTTTTCTACATCACACTCAGTTTCCATAAAAATCCTCTTTATAGTTTGCTGATTTACTAGAAAGAGACATCCAATACTTAGCCGAATTGGAAGTCTACAATTCAGGCAAACCCCTTGACGCTGTCTTGCTTGAACTACAATACTACGCTGGCATTTTAAGGTACTACGCTGGATACACGGACAAAATTCATGGAAACACTATACCAGTTGGTAATAAAGATTCCATAAATTTCTCCAACAACATAAAATTAATATTTTTACTTATTTATATGATAGATGGAAAAGGATTTACCCTAACCAAAAAACAACCAGTCGGAGTGGTTGGCCAAATCATCCCCTGGAATTACCCAATAGGCATGGCTATTTGGAAATTAGGACCTGCTTTGTGTACTGGATGCACTGTTGTACTAAAACCTGCAGAACAAACGCCTTTAACAGCTTTAGGTACCAATTTATTTCTTATTTAATACAACTTTCCAAGTATCAAATTTTTATTTAGTTTTGGCAGCACTAAGCAAAGAAGCCGGTTTCCCTGCTGGAGTAATCAACATTATTCCTGGATTGGGACCTGTAGCTGGTGAAGCTTTGGCAATGCATAACGATGTCAGGAAAGTGGCTTTTACTGGATCCACTGATGTAAGTTTAATATGCAATTAGGTTAGTTGTATAATACACAATGTAGATTTTCACAGAACAGAATTTGGTTTGAAATTCCATGTATAAGTAATAGTCTTTCAGTGATAAATCAGAATAATTTAGAAATTACTGAAACAACTACTTAAATAAAAATTCTTGTAGATTGGCCATAAAATTTTGGAATACTCGGCCAAATCAAACTTGAAAAAAGTTTCCTTGGAATTGGGAGGCAAAAGTCCTTTGGTCATTTTTGATGACGCTGATCGTATGTACTTATAGATTTTGTCCCTAATGCAACTTGTACAAAATTAATAATTTTTAGTTGAGGAAGCAGTAGCCATAGCTCATGATGCCATATTTGAAAACCACGGGCAAAATTGTTGCGCTGGTTCCAGAACTTTCGTACAAGCTGGCATTTATGAAGAATTCGTTAAAAAGGCTGTAGAAAAAGCTAGACAAAGGAAAGTTGGAAATCCTTTGGAGAGTGGAGTACAACAAGGACCTCAAGTAAGTTTCCTATTAGCTCTGTTCAGTTCCAGAACCAGTAATTTACAGTTGCCTACGTATTTTTCAATAAGTTGAACGTTTATCCTACTTGACAAATGAATTGATCGACTGGAAATCACTGTTATATAACAGTTGTCCATGTCGGTTGGAACCAGTGATGCTAGGTCTGGTGAAATTTCACCAGATCTGGTGATATTATGAAAAATCTGGTGATTGGTGAAAAACTTTTTCTAGTGATTTTGGAATATCATCAATATTTTTAACAATGGCTTACGTTTTATAAGCATCCCTCGTAATGTATTGAAATTTTACTTCATTAACATACAAATTTAATTTGTTTGACAGAAAACCAAATACCCATAAGTGGTGTGTGAGGTCCTTTGATTTTTATATAAATTTGTATATGTTCCTTTGATATATTTATATATGTTTCCTTTTTTATATTTCAATTTCTGTTTATTCCAGGCTCTTGTTGCTATTGGCTGGTTATTTTTCAAGTTGGCAACATGTATTTTGTTTGGCCAGTGGCGTTGCTTATGGGGGGTTTAAGTCAAACCAATCGAAAACTCGAAATTTTTATTTTTCATATTTTCGAAATTTTGACTTTTCCATTTGATCCAGCGGGTTTAAATTAATCAAAAAAAATTCTAACATCGCTTTCAAAATGACGATTTCAGAAAGCTAAAAAATCTCAATTTTTATTCTGGAAATTTTTTCAAATCTTGACAAGGTTAGGAATAATGGCCAATATTTTTAGAGAAATTTGAACAAATCAAAACAAATTATATATAATTGGAAAGAGCATTAAATTCTCTATAATTCCATGCTAAATTGGTTCTGACAACTCGAATACTTTCTGAGCAATTGAATGTCAAAGTTAAGTTTTAGTCCAAATTTTATCAAAAATTTCAAACTCGATTTTCTCGAAAACCATAATAGCTAGCGATTTTAACTAAATACCATTTTAAAGCCCTTGTCAAGAGTTACATTTCCTAAAAATTTTAATTAAAAATCTTTAATAGATTTTAGGATATCCAAGATCACTTTGAAAAAATCCAAATTTTTATTTTTCAGATTTTTTGAATTTTGAGTTTTCCAATCGATAGAGCGGGTCTAAATTAGTCGAAAAAAACTCTAACATCATTACAAAATCTTGGTTTCAACATAGAGAAAAATTAAAAAGAAAATCTTAATTTTTAGGTTTAATTTTTTTTTGAATCCTGACAAGGTTAGGAGCAATTGCCAATACTTCCATTAAATTTTGAGCAAATCAAAATAAATTATATATGGTTGGAAAGAGCATCAAATTCTCTATAAATCAATGCTAGATTGAGTTTGATAACTCAAATACTTTTGGAGCAATTGAGCCTCAAAGTTGGATTTTAGTTGAAATTTAGTCAAATACTTCAAACTCGATTTTCTCAAAAACCGTAAATGCCAGCAACTTCAACTAGGTACCATTTTGAAGCCCTCATCAAGGGCTACAATCTCAAAAACAATTGATCCAAAATCTTTGACGGGTTCCGAGAAAATTGAGTTTGAAAATGTTGAAATTAAAATCCAAAGGTGTTTAACCCTTTGAAAAAATCGAAATTTTTATTTTTCAGATTTTTCGAATTTTGACTTTTCCAATCGATAGAGCGAGTCTAAATTAGTCGAAAAACACTCTAACATCATTACAAAATCTTGATTTCAACACAGAGAAAAATTAAAAAGAAAATCTTAATTTTTAGGTTTAATTTTTTTTTTGAATCCTGACAAGGTTATGAGCAATTGCCAATACTTCCATTAAATTTTGAGCAAATCAAAATAAATTATATATGGTTGGAAAGAGCATCAAATTCTCTATACACCAGTGCTAGATTGAGTTTGATAACTCAAATACTTTTGGAGGAATTGAGCCTCGAAGTTGGATTTTAGTTGAAATTTAGTCAAAAACTTCAAATTCGATTTTCTTAAAAACCGTAAATGCCAGCGACTTCAACTAAGTACCATTTTGAAGCCCCCATCAAGGGCTATAATCTCAAAAAAAATCGATCCAAAACTTTTGACGGGTTTCGAGAAAATTGAGTTTGGAAATTTTGAAATTAAAATCCAAAGGGGTTCAACCCTTTGAAAAAATCGAAATTTTTATTGTTCATATTTATTGAATTTTGACTTTTCCAATCGATAGAGCGGGTCTAAATTAGTCGAAAAAAACTCTAACATCATTACAAAATCTTGATTTCAACACAGAGAAAAATTTTAAAAAAAATCTTAATTTTTAGGTTTAATTTTTTTTTTGAATCCTGACAAGGTTAGGAGCAATTGCCAATACTTCCATTAAATTTTGAGCAAATCAAAATAAATTATATATGGTTGGAAAGAGCATCAAATTCTCTATAAATCAATGCTAGATTGAGTTTGATAACTCAAATACTTTTGGAGCAATTGAGCCTCAAAGTTGGATTTTAGTTGAAATTTAGTCAAAAACTTCAAACTCGATTTTCTCAAAAACCGTAAATGCCAGCGACTTCAACTAAGTACCATTTTGAAGCCCTCATCAAGGGCTACAATCTCAAAAACAATTGATCCAAAATCTTTGACGGGTTCCGAGAAAATTGAGTTTGAAAATTTTGAAATTAAAATCCAAAAAAAATCGAAATTTTTATTTTTCAAATTTTTTGAATTTTGACTTTTCCAATCGATAGAGCGAGTCTAAATTAGTCGAAAAACACTCTAACATCATTACAAAATCTTGATTTCAACACAGAGAAAAATTAAAAAGAAAATCTTAATTTTTAGGTTTAATTTTTTTTTTGAATCCTGACAAGGTTATGAGCAATTGCCAATACTTCTATTGAATTTTGAGCAAATCAAAATAAATTACATATGGTTGAAGAGAGCATTAAATTTTCTATAAATCAGTGCTAGATTGAGTTTCATAACTCAAATACTTTTGGAGCAATTGAGCCTCGAAGTTGGATTTCAGTTGAAATTTAGTCAAAAACTTCAAACTCGATTTTCTCAAAAACCGTAAATGCCAGCGACTTCAACTAAGTACCATTTTGAAGCCCTCATCAAAGGCTACAATCTCAAAAAAAATTGATCCAAAACCTTTGACGGGTTTCGAGAAAATTGAGTTTGGAAATTTTGAAATTAAAATCCAAAAAAAATCGAAATTTTTATTTTTCAAATTTTTTGAATTTTGACTTTTCCAATCGATAGAGCGGGTCTAAATTAGTCGAAAAAAACTCTAACATCATTACAAAATCTTGATTTCAACACAGAGAAAAATTTTAAAAAAAATCTTAATTTTTAGGTTTAATTTTTTTTTTGAATCCTGACAAGGTTAGGAGCAATTGCCAATACTTCCATTAAATTTTGAGCAAATCAAAATAAATTATATATGGTTGGAAAGAGCATCAAATTCTCTATAAATCAATGCTAGATTGAGTTTGATAACTCAAATACTTTTGGAGCAATTGAGCCTCAAAGTTGGATTTTAGTTGAAATTTAGTCAAAAACTTCAAACTCGATTTTCTCAAAAACCGTAAATGCCAGCGACTTCAACTAAGTACCATTTTGAAGCCCTCATCAAGGGCTACAATCTCAAAAACAATTGATCCAAAATCTTTGACGGGTTCCGAGAAAATTGAGTTTGAAAATTTTGAAATTAAAATCCAAAAAAAATCGAAATTTTTATTTTTCAAATTTTTTGAATTTTGACTTTTCCAATCGATAGAGCGAGTCTAAATTAGTCGAAAAACACTCTAACATCATTACAAAATCTTGATTTCAACACAGAGAAAAATTAAAAAGAAAATCTTAATTTTTAGGTTTAATTTTTTTTTTGAATCCTGACAAGGTTATGAGCAATTGCCAATACTTCCATTAAATTTTGAGCAAATCAAAATAAATTATATATGGTTGGAAAGAGCATCAAATTCTCTATACACCAGTGCTAGATTGAGTTTGATAACTCAAATACTTTTGGAGGAATTGAGCCTCGAAGTTGGATTTTAGTTGAAATTTAGTCAAAAACTTCAAATTCGATTTTCTTAAAAACCGTAAATGCCAGCGACTTCAACTAAGTACCATTTTGAAGCCCCCATCAAGGGCTATAATCTCAAAAAAAATCGATCCAAAACTTTTGACGGGTTTCGAGAAAATTGAGTTTGGAAATTTTGAAATTAAAATCCAAAGGGGTTCAACCCTTTGAAAAAATCGAAATTTTTATTGTTCATATTTATTGAATTTTGACTTTTCCAATCGATAGAGCGGGTCTAAATTAGTCGAAAAAAACTCTAACATCATTACAAAATCTTGATTTCAACACAGAGAAAAATTTTAAAAAAAATCTTAATTTTTAGGTTTAATTTTTTTTTTGAATCCTGACAAGGTTAGGAGCAATTGCCAATACTTCCATTAAATTTTGAGCAAATCAAAATAAATTATATATGGTTGGAAAGAGCATCAAATTCTCTATAAATCAATGCTAGATTGAGTTTGATAACTCAAATACTTTTGGAGCAATTGAGCCTCAAAGTTGGATTTTAGTTGAAATTTAGTCAAAAACTTCAAACTCGATTTTCTCAAAAACCGTAAATGCCAGCGACTTCAACTAAGTACCATTTTGAAGCCCTCATCAAGGGCTACAATCTCAAAAACAATTGATCCAAAATCTTTGACGGGTTCCGAGAAAATTGAGTTTGAAAATTTTGAAATTAAAATCCAAAAAAAATCGAAATTTTTATTTTTCAAATTTTTTGAATTTTGACTTTTCCAATCGATAGAGCGAGTCTAAATTAGTCGAAAAACACTCTAACATCATTACAAAATCTTGATTTCAACACAGAGAAAAATTAAAAAGAAAATCTTAATTTTTAGGTTTAATTTTTTTTTTGAATCCTGACAAGGTTATGAGCAATTGCCAATACTTCTATTGAATTTTGAGCAAATCAAAATAAATTACATATGGTTGAAGAGAGCATTAAATTTTCTATAAATCAGTGCTAGAT